CAAAAGCTTATATGTTAATGAATTCCTGCACCATGCTTATACAGTATCAGTTTGCTGGTCGTGCCATCCACCACTAGTAACTAAGAGATGCCAAACAGTTCCAAGTACTTCTGACAACGGAAGACAGAAATGCGGGGAGAAAAAAAAAATCGAAGAAACAATGGCGAGGACGACTGGGCGACTTCAGCAACAAAAATAACCGGAAAAAAAAGTAACAATTAAACCTAGATTTTGCTCGGCATCCTTAATTTCATCGTCAATCTCTTTCAGACGCTTTTCGTTTGCCTCCTTTAGCTCGGCGAGTAGCGCCTCATTAAGAGGAAACCCAACTTCGCCGCAAATAAGCTTATAATACGGTCCCATTTCATTTTCTCGTATCAACTGAAAATCAAACGTTTAAAAAAAACTGCCAAAGCTCAAAACAGTCATCGTAGGGAACCCTAGCACGCACCTGCACAAGCTTTTCCCATTTCTCGGCTTTTGTTTTAGCGTCAACATCAGGATGTGAGACCACAAACCGCAGCTGTGCAATATCCAAATTCGGAATTTTCGAGATTACCTGAAAACCATTTAGGAATTTTAAAAAAAGCTAAGGATTCTCATGGGGAATCATCATCCAGTAACACTCCAGATCTGGCCAAAATCCAAGGACAAGAATGGGCAACAGAAACAACAAAAATCGCTTTAAGCTACCTCTTTCTCGACATCGTCCAGCGATTGTTGCTTTGTTGTTCCTGGAGCTTCCGGCATCTAAAACAAAACACACTTCTCTCTGCTCCGAAATGTAAACAAACATGGCCGTGAACGCCAAAAAAACCCGGGCAGTCTTTGACGAAGTTTCATACATATATCGAACAACTGTGGGTACTAACTGGAGGTATGCAAATCAGGATCGAAAAGTAACACCGCTAACATGGGCCTCTACAGCAACAGCCTTGACATCACTGGCAATATTTCGGTACCAGCACTCCACCAGCGCAACCACAAGACACTCTAGCAACAAAAGTTTGATAAATCTGTCAATCAATCCCATGCTTCCTTCCTTTTCCATGCTAATTGTAACCAGGCTATGATAGTTTGCGCAATCTCCTAACTCAATTTCCCCACGCTCCCCCGTCAGTGCCAGGCGCAACCAGAGGAACCCCTCTCCCCCCAAAATCCTCGCATCTCCCGGCCCCAATTAACACCAGGAATTTAACAGTTTTAACGTAGAAAGCACGATATGACATGCACTTCGTTGAAGCACCAAAAGCAATGCATGAAAATTTTTTTTATGAATCTTTTTTACGCCGTAAATATTTTCAAAATGTCACGAACATGCATAAAAATGAGTTGAAACTCGCAAAAGTCACATCTTCAAGCAGTCTGGAGATAGAATACTTATTAAGTAAAATTGTATACATCTGGAAACAAGAAATGCATACAAGCAGTAATATTTTGAAAGATTGCAATCTATGGAACGGAACACACGCACAAACACGCACACACACACACACACGTACACATACACAACAAAGGATATATGAGAACGCTTAAAGTCTGATAGACGCTTCTATCGGACGGACCACTGAGCTGGTAATCCCTTCAGAAGACAAAACAAAAATCACAATGGCAGCAGTCTGATCGGACTCTGGACATTCTAAAGTATCATTTACAATCGATTCTCGTATTCCAAGTAATATTAAACATCGAGACATTTTCTAAGCCGAAAAAAAACGATATTTAAGCGCTGGTATTCAGATGCATTTCAGTGGCCGGAGCCCTCCAAATTCATTATAACAAAAATCATTTCTTGAAGGGTAAGCTCAATTGCCGCTGCCTTCTTCACTTTAAGAAACGGGGAAAGCACTTTGTCGTCTATAGCTTTCTGGAATCAAAATCAAGCGCATTGATACGCGTTCTCATGAGGCCATCGAAATCAAAAAAAAAAAAAAAAAGAAAGAAAACTAGTACTAAAACTATCCGAATGTGTAGCACAATTCATACTCACAGAAACGAAGGAAAAAACCAAAAGGAAAGCAGCAGAAAGTGTAAAAAACAAAACAGATCGAAACAGAGAAAAATGTCGCAAAACTGACACGCGCACGAGGAAATCTCCTAAAAAGGTGGGCAAGTAGCCCAATAACATTCCCCGCAAAGAGCACCAAGAAGAATTATGTACAAGTGAAACATACATCTGTATGTCGAGATGCACAACATACGCTCATACTCCCGCCCCTCAAGCAAGCAACCCGTGTCACATATTGTTTGAACAATAATAATTATAAATATTTGCCTAAAAAATTCAACGAATTTACAGTGTCTGAGCATCAAGACCAGCCGGTACTACCCCTTTTCGCATGTCTTCCTGCAGTTTTTGAAGTTCTTTCATATAGCTTTTGAAGCCCTTGCCTAACTGCTTGGCTCGT